GCGGGGCTTTTTTTCCGGGACTTTGGCCGGGAGTCTCGACTAGAGCGGCGATTTAGTTCACCGGTGACCTACAGTAATCTTCAAAAGTATCTTCGAAACCGTGTCGGCGAAACGTTAATCTCGAAATTTTAGACAAATAATCCGTAGACACTGCTGAGTATTTAGCGTAATTTTGAAGTCAAAATGATGTTTCTAGGCTGAGTTTTTTCAGAAAGGACCTAATATATAAAAAAAGCCCATTATTAATTTTGTTGAAGTTCTCGCTTATCCCATTTGGTAGGCTTTATTATTGTTTGTTCCCGGTGTAAATTTTTTTATCTGGGTTTTATTAATGTTTAAATTAACCCGTGCATTCGATGTTTCCCATTGGTTGGTTTTCCCACTAGCATGCTTTAGTGCACTTTCCCTTTTCTATTCCGGCTTTTCAAAAAAAAATTTACTCTTCCAACATCATCATCAACAACAATCAATAAACAACAACCATAGCACCAACAACATGCATATTCCGGTCTCTTTTTCTGCTTTATTTTTCTAAATTCACTTATATTTTTGTAAAGTTTGTTTAAACTATACTTATCTAAAATAAATGTACAAACAGAAGAAATAATTCTAAAATATAAAAGATATTTTATAGACTCATCTGAACCGTTCGAAAAAGCAAGCCTACAGCAAACCAACAAACACATGCCTGATAAACGATCAGAAAGAGGTGGTCGATTTTCTCTAATTGCTTGCGAGTCTAGAGAAAGTTACATACTATACAGCGGATAAAAAAAGACTGCTAGTTTTAACGGCGAAGAAGATAGGTGTACGGTTTGAAATAGTTAGTTTCCTTGTACTTATCGGTTTTTTAGGCAATGTCTATGCTGGCAAAATTTTTCTTACAATGTCATTTCCCTGACGTTCCCACGATAATGGCCTCCTCGATCAACGCTGCTTAGTCCAAAATGAACAGAGTAAACAAAAACGAAATCTGATAAATACTCCTCCTTTAGTCATTGCTCAGAAAACATGACAATTATCTCTCTTCATTCAGCCGAAATAATACATATTAGAGGTCGCCAGCGTAGATGCATTTCATATTGATTCCACGTTCTGCCAATGTTTTACTAGGATAGTCCACATACCAACAGCACGTGCACTTATCGTTATTTCCTTTTAGCTCTAAATAGTAGTTCTAAGAAACCAGGATCAACGTGAACTGACGTAGACAGTCTCTCCTTGGAACTAAAAGGAAACAATGTGCACTTATATATCGTCTATGCATCGAGAAAAAAATGTGCTTTTCAATATATTTGTCTATTGAAAATTGTAGAAAAATGTACAATAAAATGTCTTTCTATTGTTAAAAGTAATCACATCAAGAGTATGTTCCATTCTGTAATAAAAAGTTCACCACCTATTTCCCGACTGTGATATAAAATTCGACTATAATTTGTTAAAACGTTTTGTTCGAAAAAATAGCTGTTGGGCGCTTGACAGATTTTTAATTAAACACAACAAAATACGATATAGTTATTCCAATCGGAATATATATCTCGTACACGATATAGGAAGTGTTTCCTCACTGTCCCTTTTCATTTCGATTTTCCTTAAAATAATGATAGTCTGTGTGCTTTTTTTCTTGGACTGCCTTTTAAGTTTTCGAGACTCTCGGTCAGAATTGATTAGAAAATAATGATAATGAGTCTAACTTTTTCTGATAATATGGATTTCTGCAAAACTTCTCAACGATTTCTACATTTTTATCCTGTAGTTTTCGCCCAAAATCACTAGAACAAATATTCGACAATCGACTTCTTTCATTCGTTGGCGATAAGCATTTCTTAGAACTAAAAGAGAGCCCGAGCTTCTATCTGGCTCGCTGTAGAATAAGAGTTCTTTCTTCTTCTTTGTTGTTGAAATAATAATTCGGTTTTCAATCAATCAGACTTATGATAATAAAGTTCTGGATTTTACTAAATTGCAGAGACAGTCCAAAGACCCATTGTTTCAACAAAGTTTGGCTCTAATTTATATGAAGAAATGTTTACGGCTACAATAACTGTTTAAATAATATTTTTTGGTTTAATGACGAACGGGTGAATGGTTTGGATTTATAGAAGAGAAGAAGAAAAAGACACGATGAAGCTCTTTTCTTTCAAATACGACAGTTGAATAATAAAGCATGACGATTATTGAAAAGGTGATCGTATATATTCTATTATTGCTTTAAGATAGCAATGATTGTTATTAATTTATAGGTTTTGTTGTAGGTATATTGTATCTTCGATCTACTCCGGGATGGACAAAATTAATCGTTCTCTTACTTATACCACTTCACCTACTGCAAATGCACACGGCGTCGTTTCCACACATATTACAGCTCAAATACAAATCGATCCTCTCATCGTTCATGAGAAACATCATTTATATAAAACCTCAGATAAAGAGTTATCCAAAGTTTATCGAGAATCCATACTCGATATTATGTTTGTCTATCATTTTTCCTTAAAATGACTGAAGCTTCAGCGGATTATGCCGTCTGTTATCAACAATCATATTTTAAAAAAATTTTAAGTTTCCAATTGGTTATTCACTCGATTATTGATCAAAATTAGACAAAACAAGATTGAAGATCTCAAATGTAAGTACAAAAGATGCACAAATGACAGACTGCTCTAAAATATTGAACACTGATATCTGTTTTCTAATAAAGTAGATATGATTTAATGTAAATCTCTCTTGTGCAGGCTTTTTCTTGTAGTTAATTGCAAACTGACTCTCTATTCGATTAGAAAGTCGAAGATAGAATAGAATTTCATATAATTCGGAATAGTAAATCGCTTTTATTTCGTTTATTTTAGCATCAACATCATTGTCTCAACAACATTCTCTCGAACTTCAACATTATACAATCGTTGGTTTAGCAATGAAAAATGTTTTGCAATCATTGGTCAATAGCAAACAATTGAGTTTCTCGTTACATTTCAACGAATAAATGACAACGATGTTGAAGATGCTCTCGTTCAATTAGCTAGAACAACGACATCAAAGAAGTTTGTTCAACAACATTTAAAATTAATTGAATTATCTTTTCTGGACGTTATTAATAACTGGCACTATAGACAACAAATATTTGGCGAATAACGATCGTTGCCAACCGATAAAAAACAAGTTATTCTAGAGAAAACATGGCAACATGTTCTAACAAAATTTGTATTTTATCAACAACCAGATGACGGTGAAAGCTCACTGTGTTCATCCCTTATTGTTCAACAAAAACATAAAGGTTTGTCTCAAATAGATAATCTGAAAATAAAACGAAAAGAGTTGACGTTTATTACTGTTGAAAAATGAATAATAATTGCCGTGTTAAGTTTCTTTTTATTTTCTAATTCTCTGTTTAGATAATTCAAATGATGGTTCTACGATACCAAATTTTGTCTATTACAAGAAAGTTTACAACCTTTTAAATGTTAAATGGGATGATGACAATGAGTACAAACAAATGTGTTTGATGTTTAAACAACTATAACTTTACAACAAATAGCAAAATATTGAAGAGATACCCTACGAAATTCTTAACAGAAGGATGATGTCATAGTTTATCAACGAACACAAAGAAACAATTTGTTTATTTTAGTATTTTGATTAATCGTGTTTTCGGTTTTTCAATACAGTTTTTACTAGTTTTGGCTCAGGGTTTTATTTTATTCTGTTCTAAACAGAAAAATGTATGCGATCGTAATTTATTTTCGTCAAATGTTACACTTGTCTAATATTCTTGACCTAATTGAAGTTGGGCTAATATCGCTATTGCGAATAGTGAACAGTTATTGCTAGCAGAAGATTGTTGTTGTGTAGGATATAAATGAATTGAAGGATCAGGATAGTACGGATATGTAGTTAACACTTGCCATTGAGTTGTTGTTACCTTCTCTGGATATAGCGAATTATAAACAGATAAAACCCTAACCAAAAACAAGTAAAAATTGTGTTAGAAAACCAAAGACACGATTAATCAAAATACCAAAATAAACAGATTGTTTCTTTGTATTGGTTGATAAATTACTACATCATTCTTCTGTTAGGAATTTCATAAGGTATCTGTTCATTTTTCAAAAATCTCGCAGTTATTTTTACTTATACGCATGTATATATATATATATATACACATTTTCTTATATAATCATGATTATTCAAGCGTGAATGAACTTTTTCTCGTATTAGTATATTTTTCTAATTTTGTGAGATCATAAAAGTGGTATTTTTATATAGCTTAAACAGGAGTCTCGACAGAATAGAACAATACCATTTCATTCATGTTTTTCTGAAAACGTGTACATTTTAATATTCAAGTTGTTGTTTTTATTCTTGTATATAAGTTTGTGTCAGATAAACACTGTCTTTTTTCTTCTTTGTTCTGGGTGAATTTAAGCAGTTTGAAAATACATTGTAATTTATTATTTCATTTCGTGTCAGATATTTGTGGTAAAGATTTCAATGTGATCAAAAGAAGTTTCAATGAGATTGTAATGTACATGGATGAATACCGAGGTTTTCCATAAAACGCATAAAAGAGCATGTTCAGAAATTCTGGACAAAAATATATCAATTTTTTTGTTGTTGTTGTTGTATCTCTGACATGAAGTTGAACTCATTGGACGTTTAATTCACATTTCCCAACAAGATGGGAAAAGAGACGAGTGTACCCTTAAATTTAAATAGTAATTCTATCAAATATCAAAGACATTGCGTAATAATGAAACATGAGGTCATGTTTTTCTATAGCTTATTGTTATACTCTTGATTTAAGGAGTTTCTGTTTTTATTTGTAAGTCATTTTTAGTTGATGCATTGAATTGATGCAATGGTGTTATAATAAAACATCTATCGTCCGTCATACTTTCCTTGCTCATTATTTATCAAAATAAATCTATATCGTTTCTACTATGAAAAATTTTACACAATTCTTTTTAGATACAATCGTTTTCTGAATGTGACGAAAAAGAAAAAGAATGATCAATCTTTTATCATTATCAAACGATTTATTCTATGAGATATTTGATTATCTTGACGTATATGATATTTATTATTCATTCGGTGATTTGAATAAACGATTAGATTCAATAATTCAAAATAAATCTCATCTCCATGCTCATATTACATCGTCAAATTTTGATTGTTATTTGAATTACATTCTACCCATTGTACAGAATCGTTTAATATCATTAAAATTTGAAATTCCATTTGATAAAATAAAATTATTTACGTCAATATATCCATTAAATCAATTTAATCGTTTATACTCACTCTCATTAAAGATTATCAGCACATCAGCATCCGATGATAACCTTCTCTTATTAGTCATAGCTATCCTTAAACAACTATCGTTTTTAAAATATTTATTATCATTAACATTTGATTTTAGCACGAGTTTCTACAAAGATCGATTCTCAATTCTTGCACTTATACTCTCATATTTACCAAAATTAAAATATTTATCATGTGATATCAATTCTTGTGAATATTTCGAGAGACTAATTCTCAATGAGATAGAAGAAATTAAAATATTTGAATATTATTATTTAGAAACATTAAAAATCAATTTAATTGATATAAATCATTTATTAAAATTTATAAATTGTTTTCCGAAATTAAAACATTTATCACTACATATTTGCTCAGTATTTTCTCAACATGGTACAATATTGAGTTTGCCACATGTTAAAATAAATTGTCTCTTATCAGAAATAAAATATTTGAATCTAAATGCTTTTCACATTAGTTTTCATCATATTCAACAGTTATTAAAATTATGTCCAAATTTAATAGTATTCACATTTTCGTCAAAAAATTGGATATTTATCGACGGTGAAGACTGGATGAAACTGTTATCAATCTTTAAACTAATCAAATTTCGTTTATATATTAATACATTTTTCAGACCAACTGTTAAAATTGATATTTATCGGATACAAAAAACATTTCAAACACAATTTTGGTTAGAAAAAAATTGGCACATTCTCTGTGATTATGATCATATTAATGGACAACATATTAAAATCTATTCAATTAAATAAATAAGATTTGTTTATGTTTGATTTTATTATTTTTTATTATAAAAATTTCTTGCTCTATGTATAAATCTTTTTTAATCGTTACTCTCACAGTTAGATATGCACCAGTTACAGTTTTTTACCAGTTAACTGTACTTGTAAAACTGCTAATAACTGTAACTGTGAAAACTGTAAACTGCTCATAACTGTAGGTAAATATTCTAGTGTGAGTTAGTCTTCTAAGATTTGTATACATTTTAAGAATAGAGACATTCTTAAAATGTATGCAAATCTTAGAAGACTAGCTCACACTAGAATATTTGCCTACAGTTATGATAGTTACAGTTTTACAGTTAACTGTAACTGGTGTATGCCTACTCACAGTACAATGAGAACAAAAAACATAGTGATATAACAACGACTAACTATCTTCTACGAAAACATTATAAAAATGTATGTTTACTTTTAAAATATCTCTTATTCATCAGAAGAAATGATTACTCTGATTACATAATCGTAGAAGTGCTCTACGATTAAAATTTTATTTTATCCGGAGAAGATCCTTTCGAATTCAAGATCTCATTATTTCATATTATTATCTCAGTATTTAAATTATGTATGTTCAATTCATTACTCATTTTCCATTCAATCTAAGTATGCGTATACAACAGATAGGGCTATAATGCACTTTCTTCATCACGACAATATTCTACAAATGATTCAACGTAATTTAATTAAATTTTGATGCACATCTTTATCAAAAGAGTCGTTTTTCACAATGTTTGATACTTTAACACTATTGATCATGTCTAATGTTTGTTTTTAGTTGATAATATGTTTAATTATAAATAGTTCAATATTCTAACCCAATTCATCATTATTCACAATCTATTTTACTTCAAACACTTTTTTCACATGATTATAGATCATTTATTCAGAATATTCTGTCAAATTTTGGTTGGATAAATGATATGGACGATCATATGTTAGCATTCAAATATTCATTATTTTAGATTACAAATTTATTAGATCCGAACTTTTTCACATAATTATTTATGTTTAATATTATACTTTATGATACCAACTTTATGAAAATTAAATTTCTAATTATCGTATGAGGGAGAAGATTAATGCACTCAAATATTACCTTCTCTACTAAAATATTAAATGAATTTAACATTCATTTCTTAACCAATATCTTTTCTTTTCATTGTAGATAAACGTCACACTATTTCTTGGCTATACATATATATTACTCTATCCTGTATTTTTATCTCAATAAGATTTAATCCATACACAAATGAAACATAGTATAAGTCGAGCTATAACTATATGAACACGTTTATCAACAAGACAGATATGAAGAGTAATATAAATATGATTTTAATGGTAAGTAATCACATCATCTTGCATTTTCGAGAGAACTTTGATTAGTGAACATATATTTCAAATATGTGATCAACTGTCCAAGAGCGAGAAAAATGTTAAACAAATATTAGAACAGAGTGTGATTGACCACATTTTTTGTTCGTCAAATTAAATATCGTTTGAGAAAATTCTCAAACTATATGAAAAACTAAGATAAGAATTGAATCAACACGAAATTAATGGGCAAATGTACATAGGAATGTCGAATATTGTTATTAAAAAAAAATGAAGATTTAGATTAGTTAGAGACGAAAAATACTAATATCTATTTTTGCTGTATTTGGAAATTGCAAGCTCAATTTAACACTATTTATTATTATTTTTACGATCTAAACCAAAGGTGAAAAATGAAAATAGGCTCGAATGATTCAACAATATAATATAGCTATAACCTCAGATATTTTCTAATAAACATGATTTTTTCAAACTATGCGTTAATAGAATAGTGTATGTTACTGTGATAATTAGTTTCAAAAAATCAGACAACTGTATAGCAGGAAAGATACTAGAGTATACAAAATAATAATAAAACTTCAAAATTTTGTCAATTTTATCGTTTAATTGTTGCTTGTTATTTTATTTGAAATAAAAAAAACACTAACACATACATCGCCTAAATTTTGATACTGTTCGGCAGATTTCGGGAATTTTTGGATTGACCAAAATTTGTCAAAGAGTATAATAAATATTCGTGATTGTCTTACAATTATTTGACCTGATAGACTATAAGAGACTGACAACTATTATCAGTAGTTAAGATATTCAACAAACAATAAACTACCTGTCAAAATAACTGTTCGTTGAAAAAATAAATTCTGATGACGGAGTAACAAATGTTTCACTAAATTAAAAAAACTTGTCTGCCGACTTTAAAGAAGATTGTCTGCCAGAAAAAGTTTCCCACTCGGATTAAAAACAATCGGAAAAATTCTGATCGAATTCTATTTGATATTCAGTGAGGGCAAATACTATAACTTTATTTTTATTTGTTTTGTCTTTCGACCGTAATACCTAAAAGAAACCAAAAGATGGATTTGAGTTGTTGAAATAGTTTAGTTGACTAGTAGTGGTGTATATGAAAATTCCATTAGAATAACTAAAAATCAGGTCCAAAAAATCATTAGAATAACAGCAAAAAGATGCCTTTGGAACCTTTCGTATATTGCATGTTTGTGGATGAAACGATTGGAAGTAGTTTATTTGGCCCATCCTCGAAATCTGCACTGTATAGTACTAAAACTTGGAATTGGGCGTGAGTATGAATATACTATCAAACAATTTGTGGTTAAATTGTAGAAATAAAATAATTAATGAATATGTGTGTGTGTGTATGTGTGTGTGTTTAGTACATTGTTGAATGAATATCAATCATATATGAGAAATTAGTTATTGATTGAGAATAGTTTTTATGTTATGTTGTTGATTCATTGTGTTTGAGATGTAGAAGTAGCCATTGGAAGAACATGTTTATTTTTTTAACTATTGTTTTGAATATGCAATTATTCTACTTTTTGATTATTTATTCAAAGTTTCGTCTCAAAACGAGTTACTCATACTCGATGGTAATAAAGGATGACATGAATATATTAAAACTAAATCACTGACTTAACCAAAGACTTTATCATAACTCGTTTAGTTAGCTGTTACCGATTTATTATTCATATTTTAGATACCTTATATATGTTTTTTGTCGTCTTCTAATTATGAAAACATTGTTAAACCGTCCTCTGTCTATTCTGTTACATAAAAAATGTAGTCTTCATTTTTCAACAATTTCTCAATCAATATACTCCACATCTTACTCGTTTCATCCATCTTTTACACATGTTCGTTTCAATTCATCGTCATCATCTGTTTCTAATAACAATCAACAGTCTTATCGACCAATGATGCTAATGAATGGAATACATCGAACTATTTATCCAAATATATTTAAAACAATAAGAAATTTCTTCTTTCGAGTACTAATTAGTGGCTATTTTGATTCGACATTTGAATTGAAAACATTTACAGAGGGAGCAAAACAAGTAAGTATTTTCAATATTATTATTTTTAAAATAATATCATCTTATTGTGATATTCATAGGCTGTAACCGTTGTTTCACACTACATTAGTCAAGGTCGATTTGATGATTTAAATGGACTTGTAGTTAAGGATGTAAGAAACTCTATTGTGTCTGTTTATTAAAAATAATTCAGCCATATATCTATCCATCATTTAGGCAATTAATGAAATTCGTCAAAATTTTCAGTCTTTACCAGCAGCTCACAAACAAAAAATTCCAGTTCTATTCGATGAAATTATTTTCTCATTTCCCTATGAGATTGGAATAATTATAGAAGATAAATCAGGTACTAGTTATATTTTTAGACGTTTTGAAAGAGTCGAATGTACTGAAGGATCGATGATGATTAAGAGCCAACTGAGCTGTTCATTTTATGTCCGAAATTTTCACTAGAAATAGTGGTGATCAGGGCCATAGCCAGAAATTTGGTAAGGGGTGGGCATCTACAAAAAAGTTCTATCTTTACTAATCTGAATTTCCATGTTAAAGCTAGGTCGAGCACTTTTTCTTGCGTTTTATCTCCAAACGGCGTTGATCACCTATAAATTTAGTGTATATTATACATTGAAGTAAAATCTCAAGGAGTAGGCACGTGCCCTGTTTACCCACCTCCTGGCTACGGCCCTGGTGGTAACATATTTAAGAAATTTTTCAACATTTTTCGAGGAGAACCTCATTCAAAAATTATGAACCTTTTCATAAAAGCACTTAAAACAGCATAAAACTAGTTCAGTTTATAGTATTTATGTCTCAACCTAAGAATTAGGTCAACAGTTTAAGTAACGGGTGTACCATAAATAATGTCGGTCTCGATATTTTTGCTCTAACTTCTGTTCCTCAGCGGTCCCAGAGATTTTTCTTTTTAATAGAACTGCCGTAAAATTCTCTATAAAATCCAATCTAAACTTTAATTTAAGAACTTCAATCAAGAAACTAAAGAAATTATACGGAAGGCGAAAAAAATGAAAACTTTGTAAAGTTGGTATTTTTTCTGACTTGAGCTTTTTCTTCTGCTGTTTATTTCCGTAAAAATGTGTAGCAGAAGTGAGAAATCAGTTTGTGTTTGGTAATTTCAAATATACTCTTTCTCATGGTTTGTGAAAGAGGTTTTTTTAGAGCAGATGGTGTGCTGAAGAACGAACTTTCAAAAATACGTCAAAAATTGACAATCTCAACCACATTTGCGACAATGTACCCAATCAAGAAACTTGATCGAAGCTTTGATTGTACAGTTAGGTAGAGAAGAGCAGTCATTTCTGATCAAAATAAGACAAACTTGATGGAAAAATCTTTTGTTTTGATGAAGTTATGGGACTTACTGAAAACACCACCATACGCAGAATTTAAAACATTAAGGAAAAAATGCGTGACAACCGACAGAAAAATTATTATTTCGCCGTGAGTTTTGATGTGAAATAAGTTTGAAGTGTAGCTAAAAGATAGAGAGAAGTCAGTACTACAAAACGCTTAATTTAGTTTTTTTTACTTTCAAACTGTTAACATAAGCAATCGTTTTTGAGTTTACAAAGTTTTTATTTTTCTCATCTTTCGTATAATTTGCTTAGTTTTCTTGACTGAAGTTCTGAAATAAAAGTTTAGGTAGGATTTTGTAGAGAATTTTTGTAGCGGTTATATTAAAAAAAATAATCTCTGGAGACTCTGAGAAACAGAAGAGTTAAACTTTTAACAAAAATACCGAGGCCCACATTATTTATGGTATACCCGTTAGTCGAGTTCAAACATCATCTAACGAATAAAATAGTGTTTTTCTTCTCTAAAATTCATGTCCCTAGTTTATATCACTGAGTATGTTTTCTAGAGCGTCGTTTTGTTGAAATAACAATGATATTTCACGTGCTAAAAGGTAAAGAAAAACATGTTGAACAACACATGAACATGGACTTGAGCACTCTATTGAATTTTTCAAAAACATCGCATAGTATTCGTGATAGTATTGTTATTTGTAATTATCGATTTGTGAGAGAAATGACCAAAGGTGTCTCGGATGGATGGACAATAAATGCTCTTAATCATTGGCTCCCGAATGAATATCTTTAACAACCAAAACAATAACAATCACAATCATAAGTCACAAAACTATGTTATTTCTGTTGTTGTATATCTTTTCATTTTTTTTGTACTATTAGAAAGAAGATTAAAAATGTTTTTTTTTGTTTTTTATATACAAACGGATTTTCTTTGAAAGTAAAACTATTCTCGTAAATAATTTTATTTTCGAGATTAACCAGCTAAGAAAATTATCGAGTTCATTTTTAGTAAACAATGTTTACCAATTTGGTTGTCAAAATGAACGTATCACCTTTTATTACTCTATTGGTGATGTTTTTAGTTAAATGAAAAGTTTCTAAACAACTTAGCACAAATTAATTATGCACCATAAAATCCATCATGTGAACACGTCATGTTAAAGATTTTCAGCAATTATTTGTAACCGATAGCGAGAAAAATATATTGTGTAATCATTGATGTATTCTACATCTTGTAGAGAAATGCATATACCGTGACGTTTGACAGCGTTACGCCATCTCTTACTCTAGAGAGTTTACTCTTCAAATCTACATATTAAAAAAAAAGAATTGATCAGAGCATAGATGAAGAATGGTAGTCTTTGGCAATCCTGTCTTATGAAGTAACTACAAAACTTAAAAGACAAAAAATTAAAAAAATCAGTTGTCGATTCTTGAACAATATAGATTCTAAAAGTACATGCCTCACGCTATGCTGTGATGAGTATATTGATAAATCGAGTTCCTAATATAATCGATTCCTTATATCGAGTCATAATAATTCTGTTTTTTCCAGAAAGGGGTCTTATATAAAAGCAGTAGATATACCTGTTTAAACATAAACTATAAGTCATAAAAGAGTCCGTATTTAGCCGACTGGACCTGATCAATCGCTGTAGTTTTCACCATTATCAAAATTTTGACGTATATTTAGTGGATACCGATGTGCATATTCATTTTGATTCATCATAAATTCATTATAAATTGTTTAAATTTTTCATGCTTGGAATCTCGATGCATAAGGGAGGGTGTCCGCCCATTTATATTTCGCTCAAGCTTTGTCGATTTGTAAAGAATACCTTAAAATCCCGAAATTTTTATGTCTTACGAACATTGTCTGACCGACTTATTGAAATTTTTAAAATTTTCTGGTTATTTTGGCCTATTTTTAAACATTTAATAAAATGTCTAAATTTCAGTTTTGAAATTCATTTTTGATGTCATTCGATAGAGCAGATTGAGATGTATATGTGCAAAAAAGTTCCATCTTTATCGGACAAAATTCGGCAAATTTGAAAATATTATTGTGAAATTGGTGTGAAATTTGAAAATTACTTGGAAAACTGGTTTGTAGTGCAAAAAGTAGCGGGTTTTGAGGTTTCATATGCACTTTCTCGTCTGGAAGACATTTGAGCAAAAGTGTAGGAACGAAAATTGTTCAGAATCTTGTTTTGTGCACTAAAACAGTGTGAAATTCCTAAAGGCAAATTTTTTAAGTTAAAGATACGAAACTTAGGCAGAGCTACGACACTTGACGAAACTTAGTCCTAAAAATGATTGTTTTGCCAGGTGAGATGAAAGTGTCAGAGAGAAGTAAAAAACACAGAATATAGATAATTTGAAACGGATAAGCTGAAACGGATGGCAACAGTAGAAATTGAAACAGGAAATTTTTATGCTCGGTTTTTCAGAGATCGAATTATCAAAAATGGTTTAAGTCTTGAACCAACTTTCGCTTCAGGGATGCATTTTGGAAGAAAAGTATGGGAACAAAAGTTGTTCAGGATTAAATTCTACATGGAATGAGGGAGAGAATTTTCGAAATTCCTAAAACTCGGTTTTTAAGTTCAAAAATACTGTTTTAGAAATTTAAATTTCTGTAAAAATTTAACTGAAAAAACTTTAGGGATTTCGAAAATTCTCTTACTTATCCTGTGTAGAGTTTAATCCTGAACAACTTTTGTTCCCATATTTTCCTTCCAAAATGCTTCTATCGTACAAAACTTTGTTCAAAACGTTCTTAAAAATACTTTTTGTATCGGAAATGGATCGGACGAGTCAAATTTTAAATTTCTCCGTCAGACTTGACCGGACAACGATGAAGATATATCTCGACGTGCTTCACGAACGGAAACAGATTTAGGATTTTGTATCAAAAATGAAAATTTTATTAAAACTTCATAACTGGAGCAAAAATCCGAGACTTAACTTAAAGAAATTGTTTCTCAAAACCTACGGGTCCGGTAACCGAAAAAAAATTCGGAATATGTATTTCAAAGTGTCCTCTTCAAACTAGTGGAAAAGGCCGAGTGGATCGATCCTTTCTTAAGCTTAAGGCGATTTCTTGTATTTGGATATCCACAAGACTAAAAGAAAAATTGGTCGTTTTGTTGCTTGTATGAATGGTACGACGAATGGCAGGCTCTGGTAAGCGGATATTTGCTTACGAGAAACAAGTAGTTGTACTCACTTTCTTCTCTCTTATCAAATATATCATAATTCATACGCGATGTATTCAGGAGGGGCTAGAAAAAGAATGTATTTTTCATGAAAATATGTCTTGAATGCTTAGGATTTTAACCAGTGCAGGGTCTGTATTCAGTGTATCGAACCTCATCTTTCGTTGATTGTGTGTGCTGAGAAGTTCGGAAGGCTTGTTCTCCAGAAGTATTGGACATCAGTAGACGTTGAGCAGAGAAAATAGAAATGGCATTTCTAGAAAAAGAAATTTCTATAGAACCAAAATGTGACATATTAAGATTTTTTAAAAGAATATTTTTCAGAGATTATGGATGATCGGGTTGTTATTAGGCGAATACTTAACGAAACTATATGAACGAATTACAACGAAAAATAAACAAGTTAGTTCAGATAGTAAAACGAAATGTCTGATTAAAATAAGCTATTTTTCAGCTTGGGAAAATGTTCGTAGAAAAGTTATGAGAGATGCACGAAAAGCTTTAAATTACTAACGTCATCGTGCTAGATTTCTCTATCAAAACTTAAAACTGCTGAAGTTCGGCTAGTCTCAAATTGAAGTTAACATATATGTCTTGAGGTTAATAGAGTCCGATTTTGAATATTGATCTAGTTTTATCGAGACGAGTATTTAACTAGAGCTGTTAAACAGCAGCAGACTTTTGAAGACTCCAATCGTTCGAGACAGCAAATATCAAAGAGCGAGCTCTACTGACCTTCAGTCAGATGTCATCTCTTTATATCAGAAGCAATCCGATTTTTCCAACTGTTAATTTGATGAAGAAATTTTAAAAATCGAACGGATCCATTTTTATCCATACGATAACTTTGAAAAAAGTTATTTATAATCACATTTTAGAGTGATCAACAGTTCTGGACATTTTATCTTGATCAGACTAGCAAGTCTAGAAATACGTTTGTAATAGAAAGCAATTATAAAAATTCTATTGATTCTTAATTAGCATATTTCCTTAATCCATGCCATGAACTAAGGAAAAGCAAAATGGAATTATTGTTACAATAAATGAAGTGCTATTTGTTTTATTTTATTCAAAAAATTTTATTGAGTAAAAACATATACAATGCGCCTGTACGTATACATAAACATGTTTATTTTTTATATAATAGTGGAAATAGAAGTGTAAATTGAAATATCAAAAGACTTTTCTGATGAGAACCTGATACTAAATGAACTTGTAGAAAATCTACAATAGCTTTCTAGAATCCACAAGATTTTGTATACTACGTCATTCAAACATCCAGGATCATATGATGGATTTTTGCTATCAATTCGTTTATAATCCACATATTTTCTCTTTTCCATTTTCTTGTTTAGATAGATTCACGTTGTCCTAGAACCGTGTAAAAGCTTTTAGACTCAGACTATTTTCATCATGTAGGGAATAGTCAGTAGTGAAAAACCCCAAGTTGGTATGGGCCCATGCGCCTTTTTGACGGAGATATGAGTTAATTAATGAAAATGCTATTAATAATAATTAATTAATAGCTCACGACCATGATCAGCTAGCAGTCGAAAATTTTCACCACAGTTGAAGATAGATGTTGTCTACTCACTGCGACACTTTTAGGCTTATAACCAAAGCTTTTACAAGATATGAATTTTTTATGATTTCGACAGTTTTTAGTGAAAATTCACCATTGAAAACCTAAAAACTTGTTAACACCTTTTAAATACCCCTGTTGTAATATATGGCAAATTTTTCTAAACATTTTCAAAGAGAAACATAAAACAAGTGGAAAATGTGCAACATTTTAAAATTTGTTTTACCGAACAATCAAACGTTCTCTGAAGCTAAAACACATATAGCTAAGGTGTTTATCTGTAGAATAGCATATCTCTCAGCTCTATTGAACATTTCTATGAAAAGCTGTGATTTTTTCAAAATATGGTACTTTTCGCTACTATTAAAATAAAATGCTTATAACTCTTGAAGGATTGAACGAGAGCACGAATGGTTTTCAGATTTGTAATCAACATCCTTAAATTAGCAAAGTGGAGTACATTGCTTTGAAATCCCAGGAAAACACCTTGGGACCTTCCCTCGTAAGGCGAAGAAATCAAATTTTCCCTTCCTTTTTACTTTTAATAAAATTTTCGTTCGTGGCAGGAAAAAAGGTTTGTAGCGAACTTATGATACAAGAAAAGAAACATGTTATTCTGGAGCACCAGAAAATACATTTTGATTCCACTTTGATACTTAGCACCGTGCTGAAAATAAATATTTTTTGATTGCGCTTTTGGTTTGAAACTAGGCATGCACCGATTAAAAATCGATGTTAGGGCATTCAGCAAAATCGTTCCGAATCAGTTATCAAAAATCACTTACAGCTGTGGAATGTCTGATTTTGTAGAAAAATGTTTGCTTTATCAAACTAAATTGCGAGAAAAATTTTTAATATTATATATAGAGAGAAACTATGATAAATCGAAAACGTACTAAAACCGCAGAAAAATAATCGAAGATTGATTATTTTTTTCGCAGTGTTGGACATTTTTGGATTATTATATTTCTGTAACAAATCACACCAAAA